AGGACATGGCTTAGGAAATAATAAGTTATTCATATAACAAGCACGGCAAGCACATATCATGTTTTGTCTATGAAACAAATCAATTCCCATTCTATATTCTATGTAATACCCTAAAGCATCCAAAGAAGCATGAAATTCCACCATGTAAAATTAGAACAATGCTATACAAACACAGGGGATGACCGAACACACACACCTCGAGAGTCGAACATTATTTTATTCACGCCCCCAAGTGCAATATGAGGGTCGGTTACCCGAGGTGTCAACTATTTTCGGGTAAAGTGACTTTACTCATAATTGAAAATTCAAATATGTGATAAATATTAGGGAATAACAATTTCATATATTGATCATTTTTATTTTTAATTCAAGATTCATAATTTAATGTAGTGTTCGATCGAATTCTTTTATTGTAATCAATTTACCCATCTCGAATTCTCATTGAGACTATTGAACTAATTCAATTCCATATCTATATGTGAATCAACTTTAGTTAAATGAAACACTGATTCTAAGAATTTATATTATGATCGCAATAATTAGTATATGTATCTCTACACGTTATACTAATTTACCGAATTTTATTATGTGGTTAAATCTCAAACTCACCTCTCGATTCGTAAAAAACTCACATAATCATCAAATTATTGATAAGATAATTTAATGCATTAAACTTATAATAAAATTAATACATAAATAAATAAATCACAGAAATCTTGAATAAAAAAATAAAGGATCACAAGTCGACTACATTGTTTTCCATAATATAAAAATTAGTTATTCATATTGTAAAAATAATAATACTCAATAGTAGAAAGATATCACCAAAAATTGACGAAACGTAAAAATTTCTGGTGTTTCCAACTCCATTTTTTTTTTTTTTTCCTTTTCTTCTTTTTCTTTTCCTCTTTCCTTTCTCCTCCCTGCCCTTTTTTTCTCCTGCTTTGACTTTTTTCCCCTTTTCCTCTTATTTTCTCTTTCTCTTTCTCTTCTTTTCTCTTTTCTTTCCTCTATTCGTGTCCCGTTTTCCTCTTTGCGTGTTTCTCTTCTTCACTCTCTCCCTCTGTAACTATATATATATATTCTACAAAAAATATATAAAAAAAAAATCCTTTCCAATAGTTAGGCATTTTTTATTTTTTTATAAATAACTTTTTATTTTTATTATATTTCTAACAATTTTCTCAACATCAGTCTCTAGTTCGCGATGGTTGATTAATCATAAACCTCTTGGTGTATAAACTCTAAAATTCAATAACTTGCACGTAGATTTCTGTGAATCATATATGCTAATCATTAATTAAGAGATGAACAAAATTCATACGTGGTTGATGAAGAATGCATTCGATTCCTGGGAAATTTCAAGTTAAGAGCATGTGTATATGAGGGTGACATACATGTATATAATATTAATATACAAATGAAACATCCTCCGTTTAGCTTTCCTTACGGGGAAAGTATGTACAACATTTGTGTCAAAAAATCCCAGATTTAGTGCCTTTCAAGTCATCTCATATATAGTTACAAAAATTGGAGCATAATCCGTTTTGCTAGTGATGCACAATACATGTATAGTGTATATATTAGCCACCTGGCCTAGATTGTTGAGTTGTTGGTGGTTCCCAAAATGGGGCAAACCATCATTCATTGTACTATTAGTTTGATCGATCATGCTAGTGGTATATTGGACGTTACATCACCCCCCTCACATGGGGGGTGGGGTCCATTCAAATAAAAAAATATTATGTCAGTGGGTCCCATCCCCCATGTGAGGGGGTGTAACCTTTGATGTACAACCATCATTATCCTAGTTTGATTGTTGGTCTTTACTTCACTAGCATAATGTGATTGATATATTGTGCAAGACTTATTTTCGATGAATTTGACATTGACTGAATAGATTATTTAGCCTATGTTTGTTTTAGATAAAATCAATTTTTAGTAGATTTCGATAAAAGTCTATAAAATGTGCAGTTAAAAAGTTGTAGGTTTCATAAATTCTCGTGGTTAGAATTAATTGTTAACTTTAACTTAATTTTTAATTCAAATTTTTAGCTGACCAAACAAGGGCTTAGTGATTGAAAAGTGTGTACTTAACCCTTTTATCAGAGTATATTCTTTTTGTGTTATTTTAGTGGGTGTTTTCGCGTTCTGGTAGTGGATACGTTGCTTTCGATTGAAATAGTTTTTGGGAGCACAGTATATAACTGAAAAGAGCTCAAACTATAGTAACAAAAATATTAGGCATAAGTACTATGAATTTATGAATTGTCGTTCTATTTGTTTCATCACTATAGTTACTGAAATACTAATAGATAAAACGGAATAACGAACTTGAGACTAAGTGAAATAGTAAATTATCAAAATTCGCTGAACATCTTTTTGGTTGAACTTATATGAATTGTATTTTTAAGCCTAGAATAAATCGCTGATATATACTACGGTAGACTTTGTTAAGAAAACAAATCGCGTTGAAACTACACCACATAATTCATCGCCAATTTTAATTTAAGTCATGTATCTAACAAACGAATCTAGCAAGATTTTTATATTCTAGAGAGTCTTTAGTTCACACTAAGTTGTAATTTCCAGATTATTCTAAATCATGATAGAGTCCAAGTTTTTATTAATCTCCTAATCATGTTCAAGAGAATGAGTTGTTCGAGAAAGAGGGTCCACATTGAACAATTTTCACCTAATTAATTAGGAACCTAAAGTCAGAAACCCAAGATTTGGGATTATTACCTGCCCACAATCTGATGGCTTAGATAATATAATGTATTGCCAATTTGTGTCTAAATGACATGAAACTATACATCACACGATAAAAACTGTACAGAATTTTTCCAATTCAAGAAATCCTCTTAAAATGACACGTACATTGTAGGTCAAGAAAACCTCGAAATACACAAAACTTGTACCAATGTCTCATTTTGGAACAAGATTATATAAAAAAAATAAGGATTCAAATGGAAGGCCACGATCACTTCTAAAAAATTGGCTAACCTTAATATAATTGCAATGGAACAATCTAAGAACTAATCTCAAACCCATATTTGTTCTAGGCATGCACGCATTCATATACAATTTTTGATTATTCAAGTATCAAGAAAACTTGAGAAATAAGTTAACAAATTAAGACTACATGTATGTATTATGTGAGTAGGTACGTATTTTTATGCGTTCCTCTTAGGGTTTATTTGATTGCAAGGGTGGAAAATGGGTTGAAAAAAAATGAATTTCAGGAAAAATAATTGTCTAGAATTTGTTTTCCAGAGAATTGTTAATTAAGGGGCCAGAAAACTGAAATTCATTTTCCCACCAAATTTGTGCAATCAAACAGCACAAAAATGGGAAGTGGGAAAATATTTTTCATTTTTCATGGAAAATTTAACAAATCTAACAGCGCCTTAGATAATTTGATTAATGAATCTATCTAGATATGTTTAGAATTTATTTTTGTTTGTTATTATAGTGTATAATTTTGTCGAAATCCCCACCTACCCACACACATTTGAACCAAAAAAATCTAAATAGAATGTTCAAAGAAAAAAAGGAGAGAGAGAGAGAGAGAGGTATGAACTGTGTTTTTACTTACCAATTACTTGTTGCAGATACTCCAAATTGAGCCCATGTTTGAGCCACATTATTTTTTTCGATCTCATTCTTCTACTCACTTTCAATCACACATTTTTCAATAAAATAATATTTTTATAATCACATCAATAATTTTTCCTTCTTTTTCAACCACATATTCCCCATCATATCACAAAAAAAAAAAAAAAAGAATTATCTCCTAAAAAATGTGCATCAAACAGGGGCCGAGTAAATAATTTAACCATATTTTGGTTGATAAAAAAGTTGGGAACTAACAAAATAAATAATTAAGATTGTGTTCAATACAGTAAGCTATATAGAAATTTTTGAGATGTGTGGTTGAAAGTCGTGGGACCCATGAAAGCTATAGTTGATATTGAGTGTTTGATTTTGATTTAGATTAAAATCTGATTTTAATCCGAAACAAGCATTACCTTGATAAAAAAAGTTATGAATGATTAAAATATAAAAGTCCATCGTTTTTTAACTTGGCTCCCAATCGACAGACCGGTAAAGTTTTCTCAATTATATTTCCTAAGATGGTGGTCTGGTCATGCATCCTCTTCTAAATTTGTATTTTAATATTATTTCTATAAGAAAAAATATTTCGTTTGCATGGAGGGACGTTTATTAAAAATGTATATAAATGAAAGTAATATTTTCTTTTCATCTGGTTTTTTGCCGTAAACCAAGGACCAAATAACTTTTCATGTAAGCAAGGAAATATATCAAACATCATAATTAGTTTTTTTTTGATACAATCTATGTACCTAAATTATAAGTGCGTTTATTTATTTCTCACTGTAGTATTTTTCATGTAATAAATAAACAAATACATATAATGAAGCACGGTAACAAATCGAGCTGAACAGAGGAAAAATATTCACTCAATCGACCTAAAGTTTATCAAGACGTGGAATTCGTTTATAGAAAAATCATCGTATTCGAAATATAATACATATATAATTAAATTTATCCGGAGACATTTTAAACGTGGTGATGACGAAATGGTTGAGTAAGATTGCAATCACAGGGTGCCCTTGTGTAGCAATATGGGAAGAACTATTTTTTTTTTCTTTTTTCTTTTTTGGGGTGGGGTAGGGTGGGGTGGGTGAGGTGAGGTGAGGTGAGGTGAGGGCGTGCTTAGATGTAGCTTTGTCTTTGGGTCACCCCATCATTCACTATCTCCACCTTGCAGAGATACCCTTAGATAACAGGCTTTGTAGTTCATCAGTAGCTTTCAGAAAACCAATGGTGGGCCCTTGAATCCTACACACACACACACACAAAATATATTATAATATAGAAGAAACAAATTCGACAACTTTATGTAATGGTTTGGTAGGATATAAAGGTGGGTGAGGGGACTTTTTTAGCATAGTTTTCATTGGAGAAATAGAATTATGGGTAGACAACCTTGTTGTGACAAACTCGGGGTGAAGAAGGGGCCATGGACGGCTGAGGAAGACAAGAAACTCATTAATTTCATCCTCACTAATGGCCAATGCTGCTGGAGGGCCGTCCCAAAGCTGGCTGGACTTCGTCGTTGTGGAAAGAGCTGCCGACTCCGGTGGACGAATTATCTCCGTCCCGACTTGAAACGTGGTCTTCTTACGGAAGCTGAGGAGAAACTGGTTATTGATCTTCATGCTTGTCTTGGAAATAGGTAAACTATGCATTGCATCTTTGATACGTGAGCGTGGTCTGCTAAGTATACAGAGGATTCGATGACACTCGACACTACACGTGATATTATTGAGATTTATTCAATAATGCACATAAAATATGCATTAATTATTTTGCTTCGGATGACTAGTTAACATTTTGGCGTGTTTCGTGCAAAAAATGGAGGAAAAAAGTGAAATATATTTTTTATTTAAATTTCTGAAAATTACTTAAAATAATGGAGCTTTTATGTGATAAGCTCAAATAATTAAACAATGATGTTTGGTGAAGAAAGTTCACTTATGCACCTCAAAGGCTCAAACCTTTCCCATTACTTCTGACTAGTGGGCAATCCAAGCACCTTTTGTGTGGTAAATATATGCGTTGCGTTGCTTTATCTCTCTGGTGTTATTGCAATAGTTTTTTTTTACCACGTGTCTCATACTTCACTCAATCTATTTATTTTACTCTCTTGCCTTTACATATCGAGTACTCTTAAACAATGCATTGAGTGGTACAAACGTTAAGATAATAGTGTATTATTCACAAAACTTTTGGTTTTTATTCATTAGGTGGTCCAAAATCGCTGCAAGATTGCCTGGAAGAACAGACAACGAGATTAAAAATCATTGGAATACACATATCAAGAAAAAACTTCTGAAAATGGGAATTGATCCAGTTACACATGAACCACTTCAGAAGGAAACTGAAAAATCTGTGTCTGATGCACTAGAAAATTTGCCTGATTCGGACAAAAACCTGGTTCAGTTACAAGAAATTACTAATAATGGCATTACCAGCAGTTCAGATGAAAACTCCACCTCACCAACTGATCACACTTGTTCATCTGATGAATCCAATTTTCTAGAAAATGACCCTTTAATCACTTGCCTATTCGAAGATGACCCTCCTCCAGTTAACGATGTCCCGTGGGAGTTTCCACCCCATCAGCCGAACTTAGATAACTTATTTGTGCCATCGTGGGACGAAAACTGCTCGTGGCTATTGGACTGTCAAGATTTCGGAATTCATGACTTTGGGTTCGATTGTTTCAACAACGTCGAAATGACTAACGTCTTGAACACGTTAGAGACAGGGAACGATCAATAAGTTTGTCGTGATCAAACGCGAGGGGCGGGATCATATAGAACATATAGAGAAGAACGGTGTTTAATTAGCCTCATCAGTGCATCCATGTTACAAAGTACCATGCGCTGTCTATCAGTTTACTTAGTTTCATCATATAGTTGATTTTGTGGGTTAATTAGAAGAGAAAGCCTCTATTTGTTTAGAGGTTTTTCACCAACCAAATTAGAGAGAAAGATATACCAAATTGCTGCTCCTTTGCAAGAAATATGTGGGGACAAGCTGTAGATTAGGGCTTAATGTTGTGGTAGAATATTCATGTGAATATAATGCCCTATGTATATTACAATGTATTCATATCAATAAAGATAAGGTTCTTATGATCTGCTTATGTAAGTAGACTCTTACAGCCTACCAAATGTCCAAAAAAAAGATCAATCAATTTCGTGAATAAGAGACAATTGCTCATTTCATAATGATTTATTTATTTATTTTCATTCAAAAGAGTATGTTGATTCAAAGGCATGTTTGGTTGAGATAGCTATTGCTTTCAAATAATTAATTTATGTATATTGAAATTTTTTCGCCAAAAACCTATTTTTTTACACTTAAAGTTACTTGTATGTAATTTGTAACCAAAATGGGATTTATATGTTCATACAAGATGACGGCTTGTTTGAACACCAATCTTTAATCTGATTGTTCTTTTACGTTTTAGGCGCATCGAATCTTACTCATTTGAGCTTCTTGAGCTATGATGTCATATAGAGAATTGAAGTTCCATCTTGTCAAGAGGAATGTGTAAAAACTCCGCGATTTTCTCTTATTGTGCTGTGCAAGATGGTGACTAGTTTGATTACACGTACCAATTTTGAAATCAAGTATTTTGTTTGCAATTTAACAACTTTCCCTTGATACGACGTTCTACTTGATTTCATTGAGCACTAAGTTTATAGATAGGATTTTTAGGTTAGTCATTTGTGGGATCATTAAAGAAGTTATATTTTCATGAGTTGCAATCTTTGCGCTTTGGCAATAAAAAACACCACTCCACTTGAAAAGGCATTACTATTCTACATATGGGGAAACAGATGGTACATATTAGCATTAATGTAAGGACCACAATCACATGTTTCAATTGAAAACTTGGAGCCCTATAATTAATTGAAACCATTATCTTTTTTTTTTAAATTTAAAATTTATGAAGTGTTTAGCAAATATGTAATATTCATGACAAACAATTTCTTTTTAAGATATTTCTAGTAAGGATTAATCAAATGATTAAATGAGACCAAAACATTAAAGTAACAAGATAAGAGCTTTGTTAGTACAACTAATTAATCAGTAAACAGCAATCAAAGAGAAATGCCACCAGAACAATAGCTGCAATTTTCCCTTACATCTTATACTATATAACCTTTTACATTGAGACAAAATAGTTTAGTTCTTTATCATTATTTTGCTAGTTAATTCCCTCAGTTAATCTTAAAACCATGCTTAAGAGAATGAGGTGAACAAAATATTCAAAATAAAAAAATAGTTGAGCAAATAATTAATCAATTGTCAGAAGGGTGATAAATGACCCTACATAAAGATCCTCAATATATCTCATTGTTGTTGGTGGCGCATCATCATTTTGATGCCTAAGTGGAATGTTGAATCATTTGATTCTTGTGGTTTCAAATTCCCTTTTACCATGTTATATTAACAATATGAAGTATATGGATTTTAAGTGGTTGATTTTGTTTATGTTATCGTGTTGTCGAGACTACGTATATTCTGATTAGAAATGTAAAGCGGTCTAAGTCATGTGACAATTCGTGGACATGCCATCACGTTTCTACAATTCCTTTGGATACGTACACCTTTGTACTTTTCTAGAGTAACTAGAAGATCACATTATCAATATGGGGTGAACTACCATTCGAAGAACAATCATGCATGGAGTTTGTCACGTGACAATACATCATTGGACAATTTAAAAACAACACAGTTTTTTAGCCCAATCATTTGTTGACAAGTTGGACAATGTCAACAATGATGTACACAAAAAGGTGTACAAATGGCATTATCCTTCGAAGAATTAAAATGTGAAGTGAAAAGGTAGAAGCAAAGGTGTAGTAAGAATCTATTGTCAATTATTTGGACCTCTTTGTCTTTCGATAGCTTGACAGTAGCAAGTATAGTGTCTACTTATTATGTTCTGAAGAGTAAGTTCGTAACAAACGATATGATGATATCATGACTATTTACAACTAAAAAAAAATTGTATTTTAAAAATTATCCGTGACTTTGAAAACAATACACATTTTTTATAAATACTGAGTCTATTTTTAAGCTTAAATGGAAGAGGACAATCAAATTTAAGAACCTAACTGGATTTAAAGCGTCAATAGTTGCATCCATTCTAGTTTTAATCTTAACAACTTTAAATATTTTAAAAAAATTACTAACGTGATTTAGAAACAAGAAAAAGCAAGATCATTCAAAAAAATAAATGAAGGTAGAAAAAGAAAAAAGACAGAAGAAAAGGAAGCTTATTGGTGTAGGGATACGTACGTGGTGTACATAAGAATCAAATAGATATAGGTAGTTATTTATTTCCAATTTATTAATAACATAAATATTTAAAAATGTAGTATAACTTAAATTTTTCGTGGTGACGAAATAATCAACCTATAGTCTAAATATAAGTTAAGACAACAACTATGTTGCTTTTACATAGCTTCTAGTTTTAATCTTAACAAGGCGCCTTGGGCATTGTACATTGAATGCAATTTTAACTTGTCCATGGGTTTACCATAGGGATGGCAATTCGAACTATTAAAACCGAAAATCGCGGTTAACCAAACCGAATGGGACGAAAAAATCGAACCGATGGTGCAATGGGACGGTTATAGTTTTGATTTTAATGAACCGCTTCATTTAGGAGTGGGTATGGTATTTAGCGATGATGCCCCGTCCCTCCCCGAACCGATTACCCCGTTAAAAAAAAATTTAATTGAACAATTGGACTTTCCAATACTCTTTCTCAAATTAATTGGGCAATTTTGACAATTGAGCTTCACAGAATTCTGGCCGACTTAACATTAAGTAAACATTAACCTAATAACCCAGCCCAT